TATGTTTAAATCGAGCTGGTAAAAAAACTGAACGTGCTATAGGAGAAATAGCTGCAGCATGGAATCAACAGATGCATATACCAAATGTTGAGCTTATTTATGATTCAGCAAGTCAGTTAGATCAAATTGATACAGTTAAAGTTACAAGTGCTCAACCAACATATAAAACAACTGATGATATGTTAGTAGATATAGTTCGTCGACCTGAAAATCAGGAAAAAAAACAAACGTACAATTATTATTACATCGGATCGAGCTTTAGCTGTACTTGTAAGTTGATAAAATATACTTTTTATTTATTTATTTCTTATAAATCTATAATTATAGTTACAACGTGAAGGTTGTTTACTTGTGAAACCAAAGAATTGGTTCGCACATTGTGTTATGGTTTTAACACCTGATTTAATCAATAACGAAGAAAAAACAGGCGTGATAACAGATGCATCATCATCACCATCAACAACGGTCAAAACTCATTACAATTTTGATGAACTTGTACGTCGTATTGCCAAGATTGATCTATAAACATTTTAATGTACTTTATTCTTTTAATCAAGATATTATATTTCTTTTTATTTCATTTTTTTTCAATTGTAATTATAAAATAAAACATGAAAATTGATTTTTTGTTTTTCTTAATCAAACATCTAGTTCAATTGATTGACATCGTTTAGGTTCATATTAATCTTGCTCTTTATGAAGAAGCAATTGATATTCAATTAGATAATCTTTCAATGATTTATGCTAACATGGATTCAATTCTTCATTCTCAATATGATATTGATAGTACATTAGAATAGTTCTGGGATTTACCATACTACGTTTTTGTATGTATGCTTGACAAAACTATCGTTTCTAAAGGGTTCGATAAACTTCAACGTTAAATAAATATATTTCTAAAAAGATAAATAATAGAATCTTAACTTATTCTTTTGATTATTATCTACAATAGAAATTTATTTATCAAATTTTTCTAGAGTTTTGAATGATACATTTTTCAAGAAAAAAGTAAGATTCTATAATATATATATATCGGCACAGAAATATTCGAAAAACAAGCTATTTTGCAATTATTTTAGAATACCTAATATACTAGATATATCATTTTCACTTTATTTTATCTTCTTGTACTGCTTTTTTTCGTGTTTATGTTTAATAAGTATTATTACCGACAATCATAACCAACTATCTTGTTCAAGATATTCAATATCAGGAATGGCTTATATAATTGAAAAATTGATATAATGAATCTTTTTCTCATGCGTTTATTTATTTAGTTTAACTAAATATGTCTAAAAGAAGATTTAGTTTATATAATCAAGGTATTCTAAGCTGTATCAACATAATTAAAGATGAGATCTATAACGAGTCAGAATATTCTTCAAATTAATAATGAAAGTACTTTTTTTTCCTGTTTCTATTCTTTCTCATCTATAGAAAAACATTTCAAAGTAATGATGAAAAAAAAAAAATAACCGTTGCACTTTTCTAATATTACAAACATGTCAACATCATCGGCAACTAAATATGAAATAATTGAATCTAATCTTAATCGTTACTTCTGTATTATTTTACTTATACTTGGTACATTTGGTAATACATGTAATATTTGTATTTTCATACGTCCAAAACTTCGACCAATTCCTTGTTCATGGTATTTTCTTGCATCTACATGTGCAAATTTCATTGCTCTTTATATGGGATGTCTTACCCGTGTTTTAACTACATTTAATATTGGTCCTCAAACCACAATTGCATTGGCTATCTATTGTAAAACACGTTCATATTTAATCTACGGAAGTTTATCTTTATCAATCTGGCTTATAATCGGTGCTTGTATTGATCGATGGGCATCAAGTTGTAGAAATACACGAATACGATCGTTTAGTAATGTTAAAATAGCTAAACGTGTTATTATTGGTTTAACTTTTATTATATATCTTATTTATGGTCAGATGTTTTATTGTTTTAATGGTACATATGATTCAACGTCAGCAAATTGTTTTACTATATCTGCTATATGTCAATGGTATAATAGTTTTGCTCTTTTTTTCACTTATTCTTTTTTTCCTTGCTTGCTCATGTTAATATTTGGATCATTAACTATTTGTAATGTACGACGTAGTCAACAACGTCTAACTCCAACACAGAATATACTTTTAAAAATGCAAAACAATAAGAAAAAAACACCAAAACAAATGGCTATTATGCTATTCGTACAAGTTATTTGTTCTATTATTCTTTCATTACCAATTTCTATACAAAATATTTATAGTCAAATAACGATAAATAATGAAAAATCATATGATCAACAACGTATAGAAGAAATTCTTGATACTTTATTTGTACTTGTATCTTTAATGAATAGTTCAATATCATTTTATATTTTTACACTTACAGGACAAATATTTCGAGAAGAATTAAAGAAATTCTTATTTTGTAAATTTCGAATTCCTTTTCGATCTTTATGAATATTTATTTTTATATTTTATTTTTAAACGAATAAAATAATCTATTCATATTTATTTTCTCAAGTTAAAAATATTAGACATTAGAGTTCTAAGAAAAAGGTCGTAACAAACTTAATGACATCATATTAAAATATAGAAAATAAAAAAATATCTTCATAACATACTTCATAATATAAACAAGGATTCTTTAAATTAATGAATGTTTAAGTTTCATTTTTTTATCAATACAAGTCATTCAGATGGTTATTTATATATATAATTAAGAATAAGTACTATAATATATATTTATATGAATATCGTCAAGGTCTTACATTATAGCACACATGGACAGTTAAAAAATGTTATTGGCAACATGCATTGCAGTGTCCTGACTTTTCCCGTGGCGGACGTCCTATCTAAATAATTTTTTCGCTCGAGTTCTAACAAGCGCTGTAATGCCTGAAAGTAAAATACTTTAGATGGTAGATGATTTATCTTTTGGTAAGAAATTAGATTGTCTTTGTAAGGGCCTTCAAGGTTAAAGAATAAAACTCTCTAATAAATTAAATTTTCAGTTATGTACATTGCATTCGATATATAACAGATGACATATACAGTATAATAAAAGTCTTCTTATTTTAAATATATTGAGTATATCAATACAATCTTTAGAGTAGAATAAATATTTGATATATGAAGAAGAAGAAGAAAAAAGATTTTTTTCAATTAAAATTAATAAATTTGCGGCATCTATTGATTCTTTCGCTGGTATGAAATAAATATTTGATTTCCTAGGCATCAACAGCTGTAAATGGCTACCATGTATTTTTTCTATGCTCTCAGCAGACACACTTATACGAAGTGTTTGATTATAGACAAAACTTGAAATATTTTTTTATTTGTGTTCTGTTCACTGATCTTTTCAGTTTAATTTTTTTTTGATTCATTGTTACTTGGTATAAGAAAAATGACTTCAGTTGCAAGAAAATCAGCAAGCAGTCAAACTCGAGAACAATTAAAAGATATTAATGAAGATGAGTCTAATACGAAAATAACTATCGATAGAAATAACAATGCAATTGAAAAAGAATCAGCTGATGTTAGCCAAGATAAAATATCAATAAATAGACGTAAACAACGACCAAAAAGCACAACTATAAGAGATGAATATGTAAGTAAATAAAATTTAACATAAAAATGTAATTGTTTTTCTTTAAAGAAATATGTTGGTGATATATATGCTGAAAAGAAACATGGTACAGGTATTTTATCTTGGCCAGATAAACGAACATATACCGGTGCATTTTATGCTGATAAACGACATGGTTTTGGTAGTTTTCAAAATCCAGAAATTTTCGAATTTAAAGTATACTAAATTTTAACTTCAATTAAAAGGTAAATAAAATATATTTTTGTAATAGGGTCTTTATCGTCATGATGAACGATTTGGTCCAGGTATTTTAATGTATCAATCTTCTCAATGTGCTGATGTAGGTTTCTGGTTGAGTGATGATCTTGTTCGTCTTGTTTATCCACATCCGACACTTAATTTGGATATTCATATAATTGATAAAAAACCTCGAACTGATTCTTCATGTATGTTACAATCATGGTATTCGCCTTATGAATTACTTTCAACGATAATTGATTTTGATTATATTTTAAATAAGAAACCAAATGCTTTATTATGTAAAAATATTGAAAATGAAAATTCGACTTTTACTCAATATTTAATTGAACATGCGGATCAAGTTCAAAAAGTTATGCATGAAAAACGTGCACAACTTGATGCTTATCTAACGAATTTTAATGATGAAAATATATTAGATGAGAAAATTTTTAATGAAAGAATGGTGGATATTCCAATACCGAATGAAACATATGAACAACAACAATTATTTTATCATACAAATAAATATTTACCATTAAAACAACAAGCAACATATCCTATTGATGAAATTTTATCAAGTAGAAATATATATATAGTTTGAAATTTAATTTTCTAATTTCTTTTATCTAGGTAATCGTTTAACTTTTCCAGATCCTGGACCATTAGAAAAGTCGTCATTGGTTCTATTAGAATTAGCATATAATGGTGAATTTAAAAAAATTCGTGATCTTCTTTTACATAATCAAACTTATGTTGATGTTTGTGATTCTCGAGGTTTAACTGCATTACATTTTGCTACACATAATATTCATATGGATGCTATAAATATACTCCTTGATTTTGGTGCTAATGTTAATCAATTAACAGATGATGGATTAACACCACTTGCTATTGCCTTTTTATTTTACTATGGAAATGATCCACAAGAAACAATTAATACAGCTTTAGAACATTCCGATGAAATTATTTTAAATTCGAAATCAACATCCGCAATGGAAGGAAGACAATCAAGTCCGAAAGATAATACAACAACAACAACAAAATCAGTATGTGAAATAAGTATACCAGATGAAGATAAATCAGGACCTTCTGGTGAATCAAGTAAATCCAATAACAGAGAAAATAAAAGTAAGAATTTATTTG